GAGCGCTCGTATGTGCACAATTTGCGGCAAGGCCAGCAATGTCCGATCACAAACAAGAATCTATCGATTCACCTCCACGGCTGTCAAAGTACGATTGCAAACTTACCGCCGCTGGACCTCGGTCGAGTAGATCGGGAGTTTCCGCTTCTCTTTCTAGCGAACGTGTGTGAGTCCGTTCGAACTTACCACTAATACACATCGAATTGTCCTTCCAAACATTGCGCCTCCCAAGTGCATCACTAAGTCTTATAACGACTGACTTGTTGTATGGTCAATGACAGATAGAGTAGTAGCACACTCGTTGAGTATGAAAGATCTTTGTGCTTCTGACTCAGTGCTAGCTTATCTGCTCTCCTATGTCTATATCATGTGGACCCGCGATGCGACTTAGCCCCTCTAAAGATTGATTATGTGCTGTTATGTGCTACAATTAAAAACACCATAGCAAATCTGCAGCTCGTCCCGCTCATCGGGTCACGGCAATCGTCAAGTGTTTTGGTCAATATAGAGCTTACGACACTGTCTCGTATAAGCTCTTGTGGAGTCGATAGACGGCACTGAAGACCGTGCATCTAAAGGCACACATGTACAACCCATCATTATGATAAGCTTGAGCGTCGGACCTTTTTTGATTGTATCACGCTCGACGCGACCGAAAGATATGTTATAGCATTCCAATTCCTGGCAATTTAGCTTTGTGCAGGCGAAAGTAGTATCAGCACGCAAAATGGGGAAAAATTATCACAAATGTATGCCTGTCGACTTTTTTTTAAAAAACCAGTTGTTTATCCCTATTTTTATGTTCATTTGCTTGAGGTATCTCAAATACCATATTGTGATCAATTTTTGAAATTGCAAAAAAGTGCGTGCCTCATCGTTGGTCAGAAGCATTTGACTCCTGACAAATAGTAAACAAGTTATCAAATTGATCAGATTGTGTAAGTTCACGTCGATGACCCCAACACACAGATAACTTTACTACCCGAATGGCGTAGTTAGTCGTGAATGTGCACAAGAATGAAGCCGAACTTTTAGTCGATGCATTATGTCTGCCATCACGTCAAGCCCACGGGTGCATGCACATGATTGCCCTCAGTGCAATCGAGGGCAAGTATGTAACCACTCATTTGAAATCCAAGATGCATTTAGGTAGCGAGGCCTCGCATATCCGGCACCACTATATCGTTAGCATCATCGCCATTACTGGCTGCAGCTCAACAGCAGCGACTCCAACAGCATTAGTCAGAACAACAATTTTGCAATACAACGTCCAGGTGCGCGATGGAAGTATGTTCTGAGAGGCAAGCATGCTGGTCCAAAGATAATGGATGTCTTTTGGTCAAAGTTTGCAATTGGGGTCGTATCAAACGCTGTGTGTATGCTCAATTTCAATTCAGCACTCGCGGGAGGCATCCTTCTCACCTATTGACAATCAATGGAGTAGCACTACATAGATAACATTGACGTGCACAATCCTATCTTCATCCTTGGGTTTTAAAAAAAGAGAAAGCTGGATGTGAATGGTCATCAACATCGCTCGGCAACAAAAAAAATTTCCTATCTTTCTCATTCTCATCAACCGTCGGCCCTCAGTCTCGTTTTGTCGTGTTTGTTGTTGAATTGGCAATTAGCTGTATTTACCTTTTCCATGTTTCTCCTCTTCGGCAGAGGAGCAGCACCAACGAGCTTTGTGACTTCAGAACATTGGCAATAATGTACTTAACTTACTCCGTAACCCACAACCTCTTCATTTGAGTTAGAGATGTGATCCCCGCAACTACCAATTGAGATTGATGGACTGCGATACTAGTATCTAACGACGAGCTCCAGCGCTTTCTCCTCTACGTTACTCTATTGCACGCCATGAAAGTTATATTCATTACATGAGAGAGAAAACGTTTAAAAACGGAAGTATGCAGATTGTATTGAGCTGTGCTTTGCACAGCCCGATCATGGACTTGCAGTGTAGCATCTGCTTCATGTACTTCACTAGTAGATACGCACCGTCAATATCGAGCGGAAAAAGCAAGAGAAACGGGTCGGTCAGCACAACGACGGCTGTGGCTGAGTATGATCGAATGTAGATTGTTGGGTATGACCAGAAGATAACATACTAGGAAGCATGAAAGAAAATGACGAAGCGTGTATTGGGCCATGACATTATGTAGATTGAGTCAAAGACGCGCTTGCCAAGTCGTGTGCAAGGATTGTACTATCAGTCACATGTCGCATATCAACAATTTGCTGATCCATATACCACTGCGTCACATCTTGCACGCATTCGTTATCGCATCTCGTACGAAGACATATCTAATACGTCGTTCATTGATTCCGTAAAGCCCTCGACCAGCTGCACTGCCAGATGAAACAAACATGCAAATGCTATATTATTAACAGGTCTAGCGCTTCTGCATATGCCACACCTTGATAATGATCGCGAAGAAGTGCGTGACAAGAAAAATAGCAAAGTGAGATTCGTTGTTTATCTCTTATACATGTAAGCATAAGCAAGGTGCTTGTAGCACGAGGAGGGAAGCTTCCAAGCAAAAAGCCCTTTAACCGTCATGACTCCTGCCGACCCCATCACTCATCACTCATCAATCAGTAGGTCGCACCATTATTGGAGTCACAGGTCACGCCCGATCTCTTTTACCGAGTCCAGGCAGTTAGGCAGAAACGTGAGCTTTCTTTTCCAATAACGAGGCATGGCTCATAATTATAACAGTACAGAAGGACCTGAATGGCTTGCTATGGTCGTAATGAGAAGCAATCGTCAGCTTACTTGGGTCACCAGTCAATCCAGTTCCACCGCGTTGCGCAAAAACAAGACGACATTTTTGTGACAAGCTACATGGTAACAACCCTAGCGACATCCGTACCACACACAACCACATCAATATCACCAGCTTGATGCAGCGCCATGTATCGTCATGGGAAGGACTTTGCGTATGAATGACCTTAAGTCCTTCATGTGACGAAGCGAGTCACTTGGCGTTCGAATGGGTGACAGACAAGTCGTCCTGTACAACTGTAGGGAACGTTCGCCTCTTGCCGAGCTTACAACTGATCGTACTCAGCGCAGAAGCGTATGAATCCAACCTTTTCCGCAAAGAAGAAATTACGCTGAAGCTGGAGCACTGAGATGATAAAATGTAAATCTGAATCGCCAAAGCCTACGCGTATACGCTACTATATTCGCTTTTTTCAATAGCGAAAGGAAGACGCAGTTTGTATACGAGACGTGACCGGTGTCATGCAAGCAGTGAGGCTTGTATGATTGATGTAAAGCGACAATGTGTGAACTTCCGGCCATCGTTTAATTCTCTAGACGATGGCGGATCCGACTTGTTACCCGCCTCAGGATGTGCACATCCTGTATGATTACTGATGGGATTGCCTATGCCACGGAAGACTTTGTTGCTTCAGCCAATCAATTTTTGCAGCAGGTCAGTGATCAAACGATCAAGGTGGTGAGTTGACATTGATGTGGTACACAACTCACAAATACGTCACTCTGGGCGTTCAGCTACGACAACGGCCACCTCTAAATAGGCCCAACCGAGTCATCATTAGAGCGTCTTTCGTGGATGCTGACACTGCAGGCTCGGATGAAGTCAGATTATGGGGCTTTTCCAGTTTTGGGCGATGAGGTGCAGCATTTAGTTTAGAAGCTTTAATCTCTGTGTGATGCAGCAGACAGAATAAAGCGATAGACCACATAGTAAGAATGATGCAGCAGACGAATGACAATATCGGTGCTCGTAGGGCTCGCTGAATGGCACAGCTCGTGATCCGGAGCTATACACAGTAGCTTAGGCAGGCACCAATAAAACAGATTCATTATCAAATACAATAGATATAAGACCCGCTAAACATGAATCGGATCGCAGCAGCTTGCGGGAACTAATCAGTTTTGCCACGGTTCTGAGGCCGACTTTATAATTCTTTGGTAGTTAAGGCAAGCTCTATTAAAGGGATGTGTTGTTTCGGCAGATGTCCTGCACCAATTACTCGTAAAAAGTTCTTCGATATGTTGAGTCAGAGCCCGTATAATTTTTGTCTAATCCTGATTTACAAAGCTAGATCCTAAATCGAAGTTCATGTTTGCATCATTTGATCAATTTTAATCGCTGCCTAGAAATTAGTTAGCTTTATTCACGCCTGGTAAAAATAAACATAAAACAATAAATCATAATAAGATGAAATGAATTAATATAGAAGAATAATGGTTTACAAAAACAAAATTAAACTAATTTTTATTGATAAAGAATAATGGCAGGCAGTCGCCTTCTATCTCGCTGATTTATTCGTCATAGCGTGCTCCGTTTTACTACGATATCAAGCGTCGATGATGATGATCAACGCGCATCGCATAATGAGCATTGCACGAGATGTCAATACTTCATGACAATTCCTTTGGATGTCGTTCACGCTAGGAGAACGCGAGTCAAGTGTTTGTGAATAGTTGCCATCGCTTAGCGTGTCATGCACTCTTTAGCCATCGAGAAGACCCTCAACGTCAAGAGCCTTCAACAATACTTTCTACGCGATTGTCACATCAGCTTGCGCATGTAGAAAGACAGACCGCTTCACCTGTGAGGCCATAAGGTCTGATGCGTCGTGGAAAAGGTTCCGGTTTGCAATCTGCACCTGATCTTTTGTCCAGTTGGGAACGATTTGCAATAGGACTGGTCTCTCAGCCGCGTGGCGTACCAGAAGCAGCTGAAGAGCGACGGCACGCGACAATTGGCCATGTTTTGCCCCTCTTAATGGGTATGCAGTTGTATTGCACAATGGTTGGTCCACATTAAATATACTCCCTTTGCTCATACGGCAAAAGAGCGAATGGATCAATCAATCGGGTTACACGAAACCTGAGCACACCTATCGTCATTTTCTTCCAAAACGTGAGTACCAGTCAAGCGTTTTCTCCAGCATCAGTGTGTGTCTTCCAGTCTCACGGGTTGACAAGCTCAACAACAGCTTTTCGCTCAGGCGCCATGACTGTACGCAACACGTGGTCTCAATTTGCCAGCAAGCATGTCTAACTGTTGCCTTCTGCTGACACTTCACAGACACTTTCCAGCTCAAAGGGCGTGATCTACCTGGGGGATGACACTACGTACGACAAGTCGCAGTTCCTCGTACCTCAGCACTATTTGGACAGCATCGAGTCGGTGCTGATACCCAAAGGCCTCATTGAAGACCGCGTCGAGAAGCTCGCGCAAGACATTCGCTACGCTTACAAGGGTGAAACGGTGCACCTGTTGTGCGTGCTCAAAGGCGGCAGCGCCTTCTTCCACGCACTTGTGGAGAAGCTGCGACTGTTCCACAAGTACAACCAGTGCGACTACGTGCCATTTACCTTCGACTTTATCAAGGTGAAGAGCTACGAAGGTCTTAAGAGCTCAGGAAACGTCCAAGTGTCCGGAGCCGATTTGACAAAGTTCCAGGGCAAGCATCTTTTACTCGTCGAAGACATCATCGATACTGGCAAGACGATGGCCAAGCTCGTGCCGTTGCTTAGCGGCTACAATCCGACGTCGGTGCGTGTAGCCAGTTTGCTGGAGAAACGCAACCCCGAGAGCTGCGGCTTCCAAGCGAACTTTGTGGGGTTCAGCATCCCGGACAAGTTTGTCATTGGCTACTGTCTCGACTACAACGAGGTGTTCCGCGACCTCGATCACATTTGCGTCATCAGCGAGTCGGGTATCGCCAAGTACGCTCATACGTCATAAACAATAGACTGGGCACGTCGCGCCATTGACAAGCTACATAACCAATGACTCGATGTTAGTGACTCTCACCCGCAGTCGTGTGCGACTTAATGTTGCTTTCATAATCTTTCTATGCCCGTTGCCAGGTCCCACATCCAGCAGCATCAACGAGCATTAGGAACTACGGAACTGCTCGGGCGTCATGGTCCGGATCGTCAACCCGTGCATGTTCTTGATCTCGTTCTTCAGAACCTACAGCCACAATTGCAAAAGCAGCAAAGGGCAGCAAAAAGCAGCAAAGAGCAGCAAAAAGCACCTTATGTCAGCACAGTCCATACGCCTACTTTCTCTATAGCACGTCGCACCTCGTTGACCATCCGGTGCTGTTTGACCCGCGACTGCCCCGCGAACTGCGCCGACACAACTTCCACGTCAAACATAGAGCCGCAGCCACCCGACACGTCCGTCACTTTGACGTGCTCCGCCTTCAGCTGTTGCTGCAGTGCCACGTGCATCGCCTGCTCCGCTTCAGTGCCCGTTCCGTCAGTGCTGGACGACAAACACGCGCGACGGGGAACTGGGCGCTTGGCCGCCGCCATCCTCATCACCATTCGTGTCCTCCACGCGCCCATGAACATTCTGGTGCGGAGCTCAGTGTCGTATGGGCTGCCCCGACAACACGGCACAAAAACATTGTTGATGAATCTGAACAGATGTGATTCGACAAAAAGACGCTGCGAAGTCGCGCAGGTTTTCGATTTTCCGCCAATCCGAGTGAGTTGCGCGGCTCGCTGACGTCACTTCAGCGCCGGCCCATGATCTTCTGCAGCGGACCCCCGCGCATCTACGCCGCGTGTGATGCCCGCGAGCGGGCAGAGGACGTGGCACTGGCGATGCATTCGTCGCAGCACGTGCTCGCGCGCGTCACGTCGACGGTCGTGACGCTGTGGAGCGCATCGGTGGATCTTCCAGGCTCGGGGCGCCGTCTCTTGGCGCAGTGTCGCCGCAGGGGACAGCAAGTGCAGCAGCTGACGGACGACACGGACAGCAACGGGCCTTTGGAAGAGAGTCATCCGCCGCGATTGCTCTATGCCGCGTGGGGGTTGGGGGAGTGTCTGGCTGTAGTCGAAAAAGGGGCCCAGTCCGTCGAGTTTTACACGTTCGATGGACTGGACGAGTTGCTGGTGCGTGCCGAGACAGGTGGCAGCGACCACTGGACGGACGGCAGTGTGAAGGAGGTGGACGATGATGCAAATATTGGCCCTGACATGACGCTAAACCGTTCGGTTGCTCTCCGTCCCGAGCAAAAGAGAGCGGACGATGGAGACGAGGCAGCGGCAACTACAACGAGGCTTTTACTTGTCGCTAGGTTTGTCGGTGATTACCCGCTGAATCAGGGCACTTCTCAGAGCGATTACGAAGACGTGGCTGCCTCGATGAGCGCCATGCCTGGCAGCAAGTATCTATTTGTTGGGATGGCGAGTGGCATGATTTGTGTCGTGGAAGTTGCCGACCGCGGCGACGTGGACGAAGAAGGGTTGACCTGGTTTGTTAACTCAGATAGTTCTACCAAGATTTGGAAAATCGACGTTCGCTCGCACCTGGCAGTGTCAGAAGAAGCGGAGCCAGCAAGTTGTTACGCGCTTACATGCGCTTCGCCCGAGGGATGGCCATCCGAGATCACGTCCTTGCACTTAATTGCTACTTTTCAAGGAGGGAAGTGTTTCATCATGGTACTGTCTCTTGCCCAGAAACGCATTGATCAATTGCTGTCACTTGTAAACACGGGGAAAGACAGCGACGCGTCAACCGCGACATGTGCTGGTGGTAGCAGTCGGTGCACAACGACGTGTCTGGACACAAATGGCACGCAACTGGCTCTTGGCTGGTCGGACGGTGGTGTGTCGCTGTTTCGATTGTTGTCCAACTGTACGGAACAAAAAGACAAGCATGAGAAAAACAGTGAAGCTGACGTGGCAACGAAAGGACGGTTGTCTTCACTGGCTCTAGAGCCAATTCGGGAATTGAGTCTCGTCTCATGGGGGTATACACCAGACGATACGGGATCAGTTACGGCTTTGGCTTGGTCTCATGACGGTCGAAGTATTGCTATAGGCTACGAACAGCGTGGTTTCTCCCTTTTTGCGACTGACGGCTGCCGATTGATGTCAAGTATGCCGCAGCATAATCAGGAACGGCCAGGTAGAATTGACGGTGTCAACATGAAAGAAGTGTGCGCCTTTGGTGTCCTTGATATAGCGTGGACAAAAGAAAGCAATTCGTTGGTTGTAGTACCTCGCGGCGAACGGTCGACGCAATTGGTGCGGTTGCCGGAAGATGAGATATTGCAAGAAATGGAGGATGAGGATGTCATAAAAGTGGTGAATGTCGCAGACTTGGTTGAAAAGGTCCATGCGAAGATGCAAAAAGGAAAAGACGGACTGTGTTTGTCGTTATCCGGTGCACCTGGTCGTTGTGGCGCATGGGTTCGCAGCGAAAAAAGTTTTACAAAACGAGCCGTTGGTGAAGATGCAGGGCCGGCGGAGGCATGTGGACTGATCCAGGGTGGAGACTTGCTAGTGGGCATAAACGATAACTCCCAAGTCGTCAATTTGGCGTTTGAGCACATTGTCAGTGAGATCAAAGGGTTGCGAGATAACGAAGAAGTGGTGCTCACACTGATGCGCATGAAGTGGGATGTAGTCTTTTCACTGTCGGTCGAAGCACTGTCTTCTGCTGACTTTATGAATGCGCATGGCATCCACTTGCTCGACGACGAGAATTTGTGCATTCGAGAGTACGCACTACGTATGCAAGCGCTGCACGGAGATTGCAACGGGGAAGGCTGCCCGCCTCTTATGGAATTTGAACGTCGTGCAAAGTTTGATGGCTGGGAAGCGATCAGGGGCACCACATCTGTCGTCGCAAAGCACAAATACGTGAAATTGCTGTTTGCTCTCTTTCCAGTTTGGAATCCAGATCACATACTAAAAGTCCTGTCTGATTTCTGGAATGCAGTACGTGCACAGAACATGTACATCGCCAAGCAGAACCGATTAAAAGAGTTGCACGCACATCGACAGCTTGTAAACGTACGTCATAGGCCGTCGTGTTCATTTGTCGAGTTTGATTTCGCAAAAAGTGTTCCGCACTCCAGAGGCATGTCGTCTCGGCATGCGTTGTTGGAGCGCAAAAGCGTTCGCTTGGTGGCCGCAACATCGCTTGATGATCCGTGTGCAGTGACTTCCTGCGTTAGTTGGAGTGTCCCGACTGAGTTCGAAAAGTGTTGTCCTCTCCGGTTTGTGGCTACAAGCTGTAGCGGCTCCCATATGGCGGTTGCAGGCCAAAAAGGCTTTTGCTTACTTAACACTGCAAATGGAAAGTGGCGAATGTTTGGCAACGTGAATGACGAGCAGGACATGTTCGTTCACTCACTATTGTGGTTGGGTGACGATGTAATCGTGGTCAACTTTACACGTTCTAGCGAAAATCATCAGTCCTTGCACCTGCGGGCGTACCCTAGAAATCATTTAGACGAGGAGTCCATTTTACAACAGCTCGTGTTTGCCCGAGATGATCAATATGCCGCACGTAATAAGCATTCAGCCGCCCAAGGTGGACGCTCGCTGAATGACTATGCCGAAGATTGTTTTACCATGATGGATTGTGATGACGCGCAGAAGAATCTTTTTTGTGTCTCTAAACGCGAGCTGTGGATTTTTACTTTCGCAGTTGCAGGCTCTATGAAAAACAACGACCTTCAGATGAGCATTGAGCTAATGCGAAAGGTACGCCTGCCGTCCCGGGTGGCGGAGTTACCCAGAGGAAGCCCCGTTTTGGATTTTGCTGTTATACCGCGCTTCCTACACATACAAGACGAAAAAGTGCGGGAAGAGCAGCAGCGTAAGCAGCAACAGGAACGTGACCACGATTACGATGACGAAGGGTGGATTTCTAGCTTTATGAACATGCTGGTAGGCGGCGAAGTTCCAGACCAATACACGCCGGAAGAAGTTCTTCCTCGATTCGCGTTCGTGGACAGTGCTGGTAACGTAATAGTGTGGGACCCGGAAGGTCGCTCGCAGCGATTACTATGCTCAAACGTGAGTACAATGGCAAGGTTGTTTGTATCACCGGAGGCCTGTGCGGCATGGCCAGCACCTTGTCGACTTATTTACGGATTATATGGTCCCGAAGGAATGAAATTGTGGCTCCCGCTACTGGATGGCGTCTATATGACACATACAAAAGCTTTTGAAGAGGACAGCCATCGGCTAGAGACGTTTCTGGCTTGTCATGATCCACTGCGTGCGAAAACATATGAGATAGAGTTCGGCACGGCTCCCGCTACTGCCGAGCTGTACGAGCAAGTTGTTTGCGAATACGGAATCGCACTAGAAGGCTTTTTATCAAGCGGTGTTGGCGTTGGCGTAGGGACTGGAAGGATGCCCATGAATGATGGATATACTAATATGCGGGGGTGTGTGACGTCAGTGGACGATCCCTCTGCCAAGGATGGCATGTTGCGTTTCGACTATGATGTGACAGTTTTGGGCGCTGAGCAAGCGTTCGGGTTGCTGATAGGCGTGTCGCAGGACGTGTATGTGCCGTCTGGTGCTCTTCTCCCGTGTTACGATGTTTTTGCACGAGTGCAGCCAATTTTTCACACACTACTTTGCTTTCTTGTACGAAACGAGCAGCTGTCATGGGCTCGTCTCGTGCTGAACAGCGTCCGCAAGCACTTTGCGCTTTCGACGCCGACTCAGGAGCTGTTTCTCCACTCCATGCTCGAGGCTTGCTTCGCGAAGCAATGTTCTGATGAGATGCTGCACGTCGGTATCCAGCTGCTACGTACAGGCAACCGAGAGCAGAAACATGAAGGCGACATTGCGGAATATTGTGAGATCGTCGCCAATGTAGCACGAAAGAGCGAGCCTTCGCGATTGAAGTTTATGTTTCCTGCTGCAGGAGACCCTGTGGATCTACTTCATAGTTGTAAACAGCGATCGGAGCTACGTACGGCTGCTAATTTCTTGCTCATCTTGGACGAGTGCTCAAGCGTATCGAGCTCTTCGGTGGCGCTTCGTCGGGTGGAGTGCGCCGCCGAATTGCTGAAGGAATGCATTGATCAAGAAGAATGGGTACTTGCTCAGCACGTTGTTCGGGTCGCGCGTGATTGGGAGCGATCGCCAACAAGTGATAGCCCGTTACAACATGCTAAGCGATGCGGCGCTAGTATCGATGAGCGGCTTGCCTTCTTGGCATTAAATAATCTCGTTTGTGGTGAATTTGAGCGTGTTGTTTGGTGTGTTGAAGACCTTCAAGCGAAGCTTCCACACAGCTCTGTGGAAGGTCGCCAATCAGACAAGGGCGGTGATGTCATTCAAGATCGGCTCCACCATATCTTCGTCCAGGGCAACAAACGAAGACAGCTAAGGTGAGTCCTTGCGGTTGTCATTGATGATTTGTCAATGCTTGCTCTGAAGTGCATACGTTTTGGTTTGTAGGACTTTGCTGCAAGCTGTGACGGAGGCTCACTACGATGAGTGGGTAGCACGCATCAAGCGCGTAATGGAGCAATGAGGTCTTGTTGTTGGTGGCCGTCGTGAGATATGCGGATAGGCTGTAAGACGCTTTGCTGCTTCTGGTGTGCCGTTTTGGAAGCGGAACGTATTGCAGGGATGACAACGAATAAATGATGTTTTAGAATGCCAACGAACGAATCATGTTTATCGATAAAGCACATTTGTAAGCCGGTTGTGATAAACACGATATGTCGGACTCGACAAGCAGGCACAGAATGGGATTATAGACGTGCAATGGCTGATGCTTTGTTTAATCTGGCCAAAAGAAGTCAGAAATTCGTATTACAAATTTCACGTCGCCCGGGCTGCCACCACTACTGTTCTGGTCCACGGTAGTAATAATTTCTGAGCGAGCTCGACCTCAGGTGGAGACGCAATGCGCTTGCTAAGCCAGGTAAAGGCTCTTATCACGGTCGAATATGTAGCCAACAACCTATTCGGCATTGACGAATGTTTGTGCTATGGACGTTCCTTGCTAAAATACACCTCACGCAGTCGGTCCTAGTATTCTATAATTTTGGTGACATGCCAACTACACTACAAACGGGGTCAGCAACAAAGTAACGTACGCGCTCATCACATCAATCTGGACTGCCAATTCTCATTAAAATGAATAGCTGTCAACCATGGCTACCTCCATGGATGAAGGGACCAAGGACTTCGATGAAAGTTTCCTTAAATTAACAAGAATTTATAGAAGCAAAGTGAAGGTACAACTATGAATTCTATTCTTTTACAAATTTCGGCACATAGTTCCCTTGAAAATCTAATAGGACCCCATTATGCGACACTGTGACAGACGCGTTAGTCTTAGTGAAATAAAATTATTACATGTGAACGTATTCAGCAAGATTTATCGAAGCGGAAAATAATTGGCTATAAACATAACACACTACTTATTGGCTACCACAGACTATAATCTAAGCCAGAGTAAGCAACCATCGAATGCTAGAAGTGTGCAACAAACGGCGAGCAAGACATTACATAGATGTACTACAATTATATATCAGAAAGTAAGGATAAAAGAATACACCAAAGTCTAAGTAAATTCATCATTTATTTTATTATTCAGTTTGGCTTGCTCATTGACTGCTCTTTCTCAGCCGACCACCTGTACGTAAGATCTCATGTCCTCAATCTACACTGCAAATACTGTAGGTGGATTGTAATTCCAATTGCATGAATAAGGTGCATCTCATTAAATGACAGATTGTAAACAATGTGACCAGATAGAGATCGATCTATAACTCGTCCTACATACTGAATTGCGAAGCGACGCTTGGTTCGCTATCATTGCAAGAAAAGGTGGCCATCCCGAAGGACGTTCGATCTAGGCCCTTATGATATACATGTATGTCCTGATTGAGCGTAAACACGGCGCCCAAACTTACCAACGGCCAAAGGGGATTTTCTTGTAAATGTTTTGATCTGTAACAATGTGATCCAAATTGTTATCTGTCCGTTGGACTGGTAAGAGCTTTGTGCTACAGATAAAAAGTGTTGACCTTGCTCGATATGGACTTGAGTTGATGCTGCACATCAATTTGTGCACAGCGGTTTGTATGAAATTCGATCTTGTTTCGATGTAGCAGGTATCAATTTTATCTTTCGACTGCAGAGCAGTTTATAGAAAATAAAGACTTCTGTGCACTAAGCAAAATTAAGTTATGCACACTACACTTACTTTATCATTGGTTTGCTCTTCTACTTTTCGAAATAAATACATTACCTATTACGAGATTGTGAAGGTCTCTAAATCGGTCTAATCGAATTTAATTTAACCTCCAACTAATGTATAACTAGGTGTCATCAACTTCTTACATAATCGATCTTGCGCTTTCTAAACGTCATGAATTCGGTGTTGCCATTACAATTGTAATGAAAATCTTGTACATGTATTTGTAAGGTCACATTCGCGATAGCTATAAATTCCAGATGTTCCAATCTATGTATATAATTTAGGGTCTTCTTAAGGTCAAGACACTCGCCTTAAAGTACCACACCATTATTTAAGCGTAAATTATTACCTGCGTAAAGAAGGGCTGGGTTTTGTAGGAAGATAAAGTTCGGTAATTTCTTAAGTCATTCAGCCAAATTACTACAGACCTGACATTATGGCCATTCCTACCGTATATATAACCCTGGCTTAATATTCTCATCTTTCATGTTAACCCCTTCAATTTCGTATGCGAATGACTTCGCCCTTGTGTATGTGTCAAATACCAGTAATCCAAATATATAATAACACAAATATCTCCGATATCGCGTCAGATATACGAAATAAATTAAATACATAATAGCACACGGTCAACCAATATCGTTCCCAAATTCTTTGTACTCAACACTAGATACCTATGGTTGAATGTTATCGCAACTCCGACAATCAAACATTCATCTGCCTTCAGCATGCGATAATGGAACAATAGGAGATTGCCATTTTATTCCAGCCAATCCATAGTCCATCATTTCGCAGCTTCAGTGTATCGGACTATAAGGGGTATATGAAGCAGTTTTTATCGGCAGCATTTTGACATATTTTGTCGGAACAAAGTCAAAAACATATTTGATCTCCACACATATGCCAAATTGAAGGCACAATATCGCATATTGTGAAAAAATCCTACAAAGTTAGCACAATTGTAATCAATTAATTGTGTAGCTCATTGTTGTATTGTAGCCATCACCACTGCAAAGTGATATCCAAGATATAAGAACCGTTTCGGTCATGTTGGAATATACCTGCGCAGTTTACAAATGCATAGTCATAGCTGTATCAAAGCGATTAACACCTATTCTTAACTCCCGTACACTGCAAGAGCAAGCCAGCACAGGAACATGAGCACTACATTGTTGGTGCCAGCCATCACTAAGTCGGCCGTTTTAACAGTAGTACACAACTTAGTATAACATCTCCGTTAAAGTCCCTCACTGGTCAAGGGTTAATCAAGTATATCGTCAGTGGTCCATAAAATGCGTAATTTGTCGCTGTAATGGAGAAGTTCTCCATGCACCTCGTCTACCTCAAATGCAGTGAGAGAGAACTTATAACTGAAAAAGACGGAAAATTCTATGTAGTCAAGTAACGAAGTGACTGTTTTTTTGCTACATTAAGATTGATCGAGTACGACACAATACTCGTGATGACGCGCACTCTATAGTGGCACTGCATGGCCGAAGTGAAGGGGAACTATATCAAAGCTGCATTTTAAACGATATGTGATCTTTTTACGTATGTCACACATATACATGACTGCTACGATTCGATGAGCGTCCAGGACGCTGCAAAGTGTGTGCCTAATGTGGCATGCCTTCGGACAAGCGTCTGATATGTCGATTGTCCTCAAGTATGGTCTGATAGTAAGCGCGAGCATTGCCGAGCCCATGCACGAATTCAATGAAAGGTTTATAAGCGGGAGAATTGTGGCATACAAGGCTTTACTTGCAACTGGAGATATTACGGCATCATATCAACAAAAATGAAAAAATACTGCACAGAGTGTAAAACGACAGAAGTAACTTCCATAACATATTATCTATCGATCAAGTAAAACCAGGCCGTTGTATATGTTGATTGCATCAAATATAAACGTCAGCATTTTTTTCTAGTTTATCTGCGTCTATAACCAAATGAGGAGCGGCAGAAAAATCCAATGAACCATTGATTCGTCTCAAAATCGTCTCTCGATTTTTTCATGCCTTGTCAGAGATAGCACATGAGTGAAAGAAATAATACAGCAACAATAAAACAAGACCGCACCTGAGATAGAGAACAGATAGCAACAATACCAATAACGTCATACTGCACATTATATACATTTAAAGAGCAACATTAACAATAACTTCACACAGCATATGATCTAGAAACCCAAACCACGATATCAACAAATATGTCAGACTGCACATGCTATAGAGAAACAAACAGCAACAATAACGCCGGACTGCACCAGCTAACGCTTCTACTATCGTTTATGTCACTTACTCTACGGTCGATTGTATTCTCTTCGTCGCTGAGTGCGAAATTTGACTGCCGCAATGTTACCGTGGCATGCTATAATGTTCTATGAAATGAAATTTACCACACTTCTATTCCTAATAATTAGTCTCGAATGTAATAATGAAAGCATCATACGGTTGAACATACCCTTCTGTGGCAACGCTTTGTCAGATCCACCAATAGCTACTACAAGAAGAGATCATACTTGCACTTTATTGGTCTCAATCCTGTAGCAACGTGTAGCGAGGGTTGTGCCTCGCCAGCTCTTGGCTCACGGCCTGTAGTGAGTGTTAGCACAGGCCAAACATATTTTAGTGAGTAGTTAGCTAGCGTCCAATATATTATTTCCTCAATAAGGGTCGATTCTTGATACTAAACCTCACTTTTTGTCGAAGTCTTTGCCTATATCCAGATTATGGCGAAGTTTACATGTCATGGAGTATCGAATGCCTAATTTGGTGACCGTAGAAGGTGCGAGACGACATAGTGGTTGTGATTATTGAGTTTAATAATTATGAAGCTGCCAGACGAAATCAATGCAGTCGGCAATCGAGTTCAAGACATTTGACAGTTGGGGACACGGGAGTTGACAATTAACTTCGTAAAGTGCGAGGTAGGAAATGTAGCAGAGAAGAATGGCTTATTATGAGTCTTGTAATTAAAAAGTTGTAGTCAAGGTGGACAGCGAGCAAGCATCAGCGGTACAAGGAATAGCTAGAATCTAATCAATTAATTGTACGCGTATACACACCGTATCTCGTTGATTTTGCTAGAGTCTACACCATATGTAGGCACGTATGAAATTATTGTCATTTAGGCGTAGATTGGGTACCATATCTTTGCACTTCAATCCAGAGTTTTCAAAAGCAATATCAAAAATCCCTGTAATATATTTATAGGGAATTGCTAAATTCACACTTCTTTTCGATAGATTCACACACAATCGCCGTTGGACAAAGACGAGTACTTTCTCTGCCAGTTGGCTACGGGCGACATCTTGCGCG